AAAGGGGGAAAGCGAGCGGCGGCCGCGTGCCGGGGAGCGCGGCGCGTCTTCCAAGAGGCTGGCGACGAGGCACGAGAAAGGAAAGTCCCCGGCTCGTTTACTTTTCGTACCCCGCTCGGAGATTAACGCCATTCCTAGCGCAGCAGCGGCACTGGAAGGTCGTCTGCAATCGCGGCTTCCTCCCTTTCGGACCTTGCACAGAAAGTGACGCTGACGGCTCCAAGCGCGGCTGGCCTCGTTTCTTAAAACCATTCACCTGCACGCAGACCTGGCCCGCGTTCGTGAAGATGCCGTCTCGCCGAAGTACGCGTTAGCACAACTAGCACCAGCTGTGCCGCACCTTCCTCCCCCGCCCCGGGGCCGCACGCCCTGCCGGCAGCTCCCAGCCCCGTGCTGCTGCTGGGCTGAGAGCCCGGAGATGGAAGAGAGCTTTCCTAAGGGTCCAGTCCTAGGCTGGAATCCTTCTTTCCGCCTTCTCTGAGAAACCGCAGAAAGGAGACGTACTGATAAGCACGGAGACGGCGGGCGGTGCGAGAACGGGACGGGCAGGAGGGCACGAAACGACCGCGGGCAGCGCTCAACGCCTTCCAGCTGCAGCCCCCCGAACCCAGGGTAGGGCTGGTTTTGCTCGATTATACCGGGGCTCCAGCAGCAAACCGAAGCAATAAATAAATCCAAGCCTATAACAGCTGGTGGCTGAAGAAGGGTAATTAGGGACTGAAAGCTACTGGAATCAAATTAGAGACTGTCCTGGAAAACAGGGATGGTCGGAGCCAAAAGAACGAAAGGGAGGCGGAGCACAAGGGAGTTTCCTGTAATTCCCAGAACAGGCACCTTAGCAGAAGAGGGCCTTTTCATCCTAGCTTTGCAGTCCCTGAGAATTCTAAAACACACTTCCAGCATCAGTGCAATTAACGCATCAATTAATACAAATCTCACCAGATAAACATGAAAAAATGACATTTAACACAGGTAGGAACGTGTCAGACATTTAATCCTCATTGCAGCTCTCCTATTGCAGCCCTGGTCAGGGTCCCAGCTGAACACCGGAGCCAAGGTTGGGCAGGTGAGGGGCAGAAGACAGCAGAGCTGCATTACCCAGCCCTGGGCAGTTTGGTTCAGCGTTACAAAGGCTGACAAAAGCAATAAAGTATTTGCCGTCGTGGGCAGAAAATAAGTCCATCTTAAAGACAGAGAACTCATGCAACTGGTAGCAGCCCTCAATAAAATACTTAGAAGTCAAAGCAAAGCAGAAGGAATGCATTTTGTCCCAGTGCCCTGTACTTGCACAGCTCTCCCCCTCCTCCTCGCCCAGCTATTCTTCAGCTAACTAACAGAGCTCCACTATTGTTGAGGCCATGCTGGCACAGAAAAGCACCATTCAATTTAGGCATGTATGTGGACATGTGCCAGACCTCCTTACACTGTCAAAGAAAAAACCTTACAAAGTCTATATCCATAGGGCGTTGTGGCAACCACGTGTGAATGCAGAACGATGAAACCAAAAACCTTCCTGGGCAGACTTGCCAATTCTCTCACACTGCAAACCCCCCGGTACATCTGCAAGCCTGCAAGATTAGCACTGCTGAAGTCTGAAGTCCCACCTTCCAGAGTTGAGAACAATAACTTCCTCTCCACTGTGTAGTAGATGCTGGGAGGCCATCTGGGTATAAGGTAAACTTTAAAATATTCTCACTCAAAACCAAAGTTGTTTTTTTTTTTTATGAGCTTGCAGTATTTTGGAGCTCAAATACTTCTGAATGCTGGGGCTTGGCAATACTGAAGTAACTAATTATCTAAATAAGAGTTTGGATTAGATCCCTGAGGTGATACTCAATTTCCAAATTCTGGCCACAAACACACCATCCATCAGTACCGAACTGCTGACTACATCCCACAGTTGCCCCTTCCCTCCCCACTCCCCTTTTTAACTGAACTTTAATTTCCTAATTTATCACGTTTCCTACTGCCAAAAGCAGGCTGAGAACTGTCTTTTCTCTCTCGGAGAAATAAAGCACACAGGTAGGAAGAGCTTTAATTTTCTGTAAGACAGACAGGCACAGTATCTGGGCCAAGTTCTCCTTTTCATTTTCTCCCACTACCCTTAAAAAATTTAAATCAGTAGTGCTGCACTATGGTTTGATCTGCTCTCAGGGGCACTAAAACCAAAACAGTTTACAGCTCTGCCTGGAAACATAACATACGGCCCAGCGATACGTAACACCCATAAACCCAACCGAGCGAGAAGTCACAAGATGAATCAGGAATTCCAGGTAACCATAGAGGCAAAAGCACCCACAGCAGCTCTCAGCATCAGACAGCTTCTGTTCACATGGGTACCTTGCACACCAAGGTTGTATTTATTGCTGCTCTAGGGATTCCATGCCACAAATATACAAGGTAAGTGAGAGTACTAAAGAACAGCACACCATGATGTGTCACTGAGCCACACTGCGATTATTTTAATGTGGGCAGATGAAAACAAGAATTTTTACTCCCAACGTGCATTTTGTAATCTCTCACTGTTATTTCCATCATTTTTGTTTGAAAAATTCCATTGATCCCTTCAAAGCATCCATACTTGGTCCCAAATTGTTGCAGGACTCTTGTAAGACAGAACCACCGTGGCACTTGTAACATTTAAAAATCCTTTTGTTTTCATATTGCAAGGTTAGAAACAGAGATGAAGCCTTCATCAGGGAGGAGGCAGCATTCAGGGCGAGGCGGCTTCCACGCATCAGTGCTAAAGAGAAGGTCTAAAGCATCACAGAGCTGAAGACCAAAATGACAAAGAAGCCACAGCCACACTCTGCAGCGGGCAACGTTAGGTACTTCAGTGAGTTCAAAGCATTGTCACTTGGAAACAAACAGCTTCCATCTTGCTACATCTAATATCAGTCAAGTCCATTTCATCCAAGTTGTCATATGACAGGATGAGAACAAGGGCAGTCTGGCAACAGCATTGCTTGCATTAGAAGTAAAGGACAAAGGAAGCCTCATGTCACCACATATAGGTTGCAGTCGAATGAATGCCCTATGTTTCTGCCTAGCAGCTTCACTTAGATAAGAATCAACTACATCTTACAGGATTAAAAATAGAAAAAATAACTTCCCGTTTTAAGAAAAAAATTAAGATAGCATTACATTTATAAAGGAATGACAACAGCGAGGAAAAAATCAGATTTAAGGTTGGGGCTGTGGCCATAATTCCATATTGTAGTTATTGGAAAGGAAAACAAAGGCACTGCAAAGCATGAAAACCCAGCACTGCTCATCTTTCATTCCTGAGATTTTTTTATTCCTCCCCTCCCTGCCCTCAGATTTTCCAGATGATTTGTGCCACATTTCGAGCTGAACATTACAGTCACTTGCTCAGAAGATCAACATACAGCATTCTCTCATTCAGAGGGGAAAAAGACTGGTTTCTCATTAATGTACAGGACTGATAGATGCCTATGCAATCAACTCATTTTTATGATCCTTTTCAAACTAATTACTGTCTTCCTCAAACCAAAACCTGAACATGCTTGGGTTCTTCTTTCCTGAAGAGAGAAGCAAGGTCTTTGTGTATGGCATTTTGTTCCAGAGAAGCATTCTTATACTTGAAATACTTGCATATAGAGAATAAGACTGCAAGAAGAAAAAAGAGCCAATCAAGCTGCTTCAGAAACAAGGAGAGTGGAGCTCTTCTCAGTCTTTTAACTACAGAACTCTAAAAACCTTCCCCCACCAGCAGCGAAAGGCACACGCTGCTTCAGTGCCTAAAGTGAGCTCAGGCAGTAACCTATAGTACTCCCAGTCACCACAACTATGGCTCAAAAAATAACCTCTTCAGCTAGTAATTTGATAGCTTAGAAACGGGAAGCAGCTTTTATATACGCATATACACACACACCTCAAGCATAAACTCTGACATTCACTTGGAGGAAGGCTATCATTACAGCTGGCGCTCAGCCCCGGGCCGCCCATGGCCACCGCTGGCCGTTCTGCTCTCAGTCACTCCGATGACTTCAGTGAGCGAATCCACGGCCACGACGAAGAAAGCAAAGGAAGCAAAGGAAGCAAGAGCCTCACAGAGCCATGAGCAGCACGGCCTGAAGTAATGAAAGGCTCAGCCTTTACCAGCAACGTTGCAATCCAACTGCCACTCTTTTTCTGAGTAAATTCTCAGGAGTATATAGATACCCACAGCAGCAGAAATGGAATTGAAGAAAACTTTTGGTTTTAAAAGCCTTTGGGTCCAAAACCACCACTTTGCTTACACACTACTCCTATGGTTTGTGCAAAGCACGGCAGCTGCAGCATGGGGATCTGCGAGGGAACGGCGCCCAGGGACCAACAGCCTTCTGTTGCCTGATGGGGATGAGGGCACGTGCACAGATCACAGCCCGTGCTGACAGCAAAGTCTCGTCAAAGAACTGACAGAGGGTACAGAAAGGTTCTGTGAGGATTTGGAATACACTGCCTGATCTTGCAAGTCTCACACATCGTGCAGAGAATAGGTGCATGCTGCAAGCTGGATTCCTTGTCAATGTGTTTCTCTTATCTGTAGTTCTAGAAGAAAACATTTCTACTGGCAGAGAAATGAAGCTATGGAAAATCATGAAACTGAATTTGTCATTCAAATAAAATAATTTTAAATTAATGGTGGCAATATTCTAAGCCAAAAAAGGTTAACAGATGCAGCAAATTATTCTCACTTTCACACATCTTGGTTAACAAAGTAATACCCTTGCCTTTCAATTGCTTCCAAAACATCATTCAATAAAAAAGTCCCCTATAACAAAGGAAGTTGAGCCTTTCCAAGTCCAATGAAACCACAAAAATATTTCTGAAGCCATCAGGGAAAATGCGGCCATTGCTTTTTACAATTCAACTGCTCTCCTGCTGACAGACATCAGATGGCCCTTTGGAATTCAGCAGAGCATGCACTTCAGAGAAGCGAAGCAGGGAGGTGAGGTACTGCTGATGATGAAGATGAGATACTCTGCAAAAGCATCTTGGTGCTAATAGGTGCATTCCCAGCCTGTCTATGTGAACGTATCAAATGGTATGTAATTATGTTTTGAAAAAACACATCATTTTGTTGGGAAGAGCAAGATAATTCCTTCTTTACCAGACAGGATCCGTCTCAGTCACTCAGTTCCCTTTTTAAATTTTTAAGTGATTCCTTTGAGATGTGCTTTTCAAACTAGATTTGCTGACATCGTTTCAAACATTTCTCAGATAACGCCTCATTTTCAGTGGCTTCTGTTGCACGCCAACAGATTTGAGTCTCAAATAGCCCTACTAAGCGGGCGTTAGGGGCTCCCTATTCAAATCCCCTCTGGAAGGAACTTCACAGAATGATGTATTTGGTCAAATCTTCTTAGTTGTAGTTGAAATTCAGGCTGATGTCCCCATTTGTTTACGTATCCATGTTTATGCTATTTAAGGCCTTACATGAAGACTGAAGAACAACCTAAAGAGAGAAGCTACAGCGAAAAACAGGAAAACCAGGAAGTGCAAATTCTGACAGATTACCACTCGATTCCATCTTTCAGAGGCTCTCAAACGCTGCACACCACGACGTCTGCCGCACCAACCCTGTTCTTGTTTAGCTTTTTGCTCTCACATTCTTCCTGCAAAACTGGAAGCAGGTTCTATGATTCCTCTTGGATTCCTCTTGGCTAATCCCAGGCAGAAAGGCAAACAGCAGGAGCTCCTCAAGCTCACAGGGTTGTAATAAGCCACGCTGTCACTTTGGAAACTGCATTTGAGGCATCTGCAGTAATACTCCAGCTGAATTCCTGTAAGATGCATGCTGGCTCAGCAGCACTGCCCTACGCCACCAGCAGTTCTTTGCCCACGAATTCCCTGCACCCAGGTCCCACTACTACTGAGCTATCAGCAGATGATCCCAACTCTCCTGTAAACCTGGAGGTGCTCCTTTCGTACAGATGAGACAATGGTCAGAAAAAAGGAGGCAAAAGCTCCAGCCTCCGAGCTCAACTCAGCAGTATCATTCCCAACACAGTGGAAGCCAGAGGTAGGATCACACCTCATGCATGGAGAGCATCACATTCCTCTAAAAACAGCTGAGTAACAGCTTCTGGCTCCTCTTCATGCTGGGATTCATTGGGACTCATTGGGACAGCAGTTACCTCTCAGCCCACACCAAGTTCTCTTGCAGAGCTGCAGACTCATTCTCCCATGGGAATCGTGTTCCCAAGTCCCCACCCCCTGCATCCTTTGAATAGTTGCAGATACACAGAATCTGAAACCTGACCCTGGTCGTTCCTAGCCATTCACTGAGACTACTCTAACTGTGCTGAATTTGCAAACCAAACTAATGGCACAGCTACTGTGTGTGCTCCACAGGGAAAAAGAAGATGGGAGCTTAATTACAAAGGTGGGGAGCTGAGAGCAGTGGCACCAGCATGGGGAATGGGAAATAGCACTGCAGTGCCAGGGAGCTGTCATGAACCTACAGCTTTGTTGTCTGTACTCAGCCTTACTTGTAAGGCAAATAGTGCACGCCTTTCTCTGTGTTGTCAGTCCCCTATAATTGCCCAAATGTGTTATATAACAAAGGAAAAAATGCTCTAGAGCCAAGAAGTACCACAAACCAAGCAATTAAATAGAATTTTGCACACTAAGCAGGGATGAAACTGCATTCTGTATGAAGTAGGGAGAGAGAAGAAAGGAAGCTGAGGCTCGGTGCAGCTCACAATCCTTTTTCTTCTTCTCTGCAGATGTTCAAACATATTCAACACTAATGCACCCATGTTCTTACTGCAGTATACTGGAAATGCTTTCTAAATTCTAACAGTACACACAATGCCATGCGAAAGAATCTTAAGTGTAATGAAACACAGAAAAGTTACTGTCGGGCCCGAACTCTAGCTTAGAAAAGTTAACGTGAAGGTATTTCCTTAGAAGCACAATTTGACCTAACCTGGTGTATGTGTTTATGTATGTACACACACTCAGTTCTCATCATGAGCTTCCATCTTTTACGTGAAACTGACTCTCAATTCACAAATCACTGTGGGCAGAAGTCACAGATACCTCTGATTGACATAAGAACTGAAGAACATCAGTGCTTAATTACGGCCACAAAGTACCTCTCTGAGTAGCAATGGGGAAAGTCTTTGAATGCAAACATTTCTGTTCAGCTCCCCAGCTTTGACAGCTTTTCTACAACCCATGAAGCCATGCCAATTTAAACCAACTCAGGAGCTCTGTGTTTAATAAGTTTCTTGTGTCTGATGCTTTGTTAGAAAGACAATATTCTTTATTATTAGAAAGTTATGGTCTGTATGGTTAGCCATCCAGTGATAACATCCCAGCTTCGAGCATTCAGCCTCCAATAGTACATGCCCTACACTCACTTTCATATCTTCTCCCCCTCCAACTTCAGTTCCAACTGTGAAGAGCAGCAGAAGGCTGACTTGAAAAGAAGCAAAATAGAACCAGGAGGATTAGAGCAAATGCCTCACACATGAAGAGTATTAAAATTTACCAAGCTTGTAAAAAAAAAAACAAAAAAAAAAAAAAAAAAAAAAAAAATCAACAAGAGACAATGCGTAGAAGATGTATGATAGGTGCTACTCACCAGCAACTCAGGGCTTATTGGCCTATGCCTGTATTTTGTGAATTTTTTTAAAAAACGTTCTTTCAGTGCAAAGTTTAGGGATGCAAATGCAAAGAAATTAAAATGCATCTCTGCTGTTTTTTAATGCAATCAAATTTTCACTTCCATAAATGAAGAGAGATGGGCTGCACGTGGCCCCCAGCACTCATGGCTAAGGCAGGAAACACAGTTAAGAACATAATTAAAAAACTAGAAGGATTTTTAGAAGATTTTTATAAACCTGATAAGAGCTCTATGATTAAAAGCTCATGAAGTATTACATTTTCACAATAGAGGAACGGCTTTTAGTAAGTAACTAATGACCTTTTGTCCACAGGGTTCCCAGCCTTGAAAAGCACTTCACTCGACCACTTCAAAATCTGCAGCACTGCACACATGAACCCTCTGCAGTCTTTCCCTAGAAAGCAGAGAGCTGGGAACACAATTCCAGTTCTGGCTTTGCATCACAGTGCTCCTGCTGAGCATCTTCCAAAAGTTAGAGTTAAAACAAATTCACATCACTGGGTACACACAGTAATTCAAACTAGCGTTAAATCCATGCAAGTTAGACAAGACATAGGTTGTATTTAACCACTTGTTCAACAGCAATTAGCAACATGCAGCACTTTGCTCCTGTTCACAGCTGGCTGATTATTGCCCCGTGCAGGAAGGGGAGAGGGGCACAAACCTCTGCAGCCTGAAGGTCTGGCTGGCACTGACTTCCACAGAGGGCTCTGAAAACATTCTTTGCCCGCTCCTCTCTCTAAAAAGATTCTCATTAATATTAATAGATGCATTTCAGCATCATTTAGCACCTCTTATTGTGAGGACAGTATCTCCCAGAAACCCATCCTCTGGGAAAAAAAATCTCATTAAGAAATAATTCCTGCTATTCCTAATTAATACCTGAACAAACCACCTATGATCCGTTTAGACCGTCCAAGAAATCAGCGTCTCCCATTAAAACAACTTCAAGATGCTTTTCAGAAAAATCCCTCCCACTTTCCTCATTCAATACCAAGTCTACACACAAACCTGTGGCAATTACAGCACATCCCTGGCCTCCATTTGTAGATCCGATATCCTTATGAATGGCCAGAGCTCTGTGCTGTATATGCAAATGTCAACGAGCACACCACGTTCCCATGCTCCATTTGCATATGGAAATTCACACTGAACACACCGAATTCACTCATCAGTAAATGGAGTGAAAGAAGTCCCTCAACAGGCTGCCCAGGGTGAGAAGCTATTGCTGCAAATAAGCTTAAAGTTGGTATCAACAATAACAATAACAATAATGACAATTAGAATCGATGTTGGAACAGGGCCTCGATTTTTGTCTCCTGAGGACTTCAGAAAAACTATTATACATTTGGCACATTGCCCACATCCTCCTTTCCTTTTCTCAAATTGTCCAATAGAAAAAGATTTTATTTCTTAAGAGAAATCTTTACAGAGAGCAAAAAAATACTGAGACTGTTTCAAAGCTCTCACTACAAAACCCGTCACTGAAACCCCTTGGATTCCATTCTGACAACCAAACATGGAAAACTGACATTTGTTTGGAGAGATCATGAAAGATTATTCAGCATTCTCATAACATGGAGACAACCCCCAATTCTTGCCCAAATTCTACACAGAATAACCAGATTTCATATAATCACTTTGACCACTCCTAAATGGAAAAGCTCCCACTGGAGTAATATTATAATGTCTTACAACATGAAGCTGAACAGGGTGATAGAGATGAGCATCTCTATTGTGGAAGCATCTGACCAGTGCATGAGCAATCCCTACAGCCAGCAGAGCATATTATAGATTTTAATTTGTGTGCTCTTGACAACAGACTACAATAAATAATAAGAAAATTGTAATCACTCTACATTCTGCACAAGCCTGAATGCTTCATCCTTTATTTAATGCTATCTGACAAATGCTAGTATATCTGGGAGGAATTTGACCCTCAGTATGCTTCATGAAGATTCCTACAGATAACTGCACATTAAATATTAACTGTGCATATTTAGCTAACCAACTGTTTTATCTCTTTTAGAAGCTACTCAAAAGATTTCAACACAACTGATGAAGCCCTCCCACCCCCTGATCCCAGAGCAGGGATGCACAGGTTGGTGTCACCTCCAGGAGGTGCAGTGCCATAAGAGCCACGCAGACCCCAGTGTCACTTCAATTCTTTCATTAAGCTTCCCAGGAATTGGTTAGACCTTTGGCCATAGCTGCAGAGAACTCACGCTTCATCAGTTCTGTGGGCAAGGAATTTCATTCTGAAGCTATTAATCATGCACTTTGCACAGTCATTCAGGAAAAAAAAGAAATGAAGGTGAACTTGTGCCTACGTAATTTTTTTTTTTAATGGGAAAGGACATCTCCCCCCAGCCCCACTAATCACAAGGATAATGGCCTCTCCATCTTCTACCCGCTGCTGTCACACTTCTAGCCTAACCATTGCAGACTGCTCCCTTCAAGTGAAGTCCCATACTCAGGCATCTGTATGAACAGAGGAGGGCAGCTATTAATAGGAACATTATGCTAATGTACATGATCTAAATGCTGGCCTGAACGCAGTTCAGTGCAGGTACAATTGTAGAGCTGCCTGGCACTATTGAGAAGCAACCTTTAGAATCCCCATAGCCTGGAGTCTCTCTGAACTGAACAGTGTTTTCTCCAGAAAGAGACCTTCACAAATGGTACTGCTGCTTCTGCATGACTTACCTTGCACGTCAGAGTAATTTGCTTAGTTTAAGTAATGTAAAGATGGAAGTAGTTTATTGCTGCAGTTAGAGAACACAAGTCAGACAAAACAGTATCTGGAAATCTAAAACTATCACAAAACTTAAGTTTGCATCATTAAAAAACATCCATCATTCCAATAAACACAAAACAAATTATGACGTGCTCCTTACACAACAATAAGGCTTCACAGGAGGGAAATTCCTGCTTTTCATGCTGTTCTCCCTATTCAGAGCCCAACTGTTTCTAATGGAAATTTTGCAATTGAGATTATGATTCAGCCGTGTTTTCCAGTCACCACACCATCACCATCCTTACAGCAAGGGCACAAATTTAAAGGAAACTGAAGATCTCCCTTTGGGACGCACATATTTTACCATTATCCCACAAGCTAAGAGGAAGCAGGAGCACCATCCAAGCCAAGGCTTTGAAACCCAAGCTACCAAACTAAGCAATGAAACACATCAGCTCCGGGATACCAGAAGACAACTTATGGAACAAGATGCCAATGACAAACAGGATGCACCCGACTTTCTGGAATGGAAAATTCTTCAATAGGTGAACCGTAGCAACAGGTAAAATGAGCAGGCTGTTACCTGCAGGACAAGCTGCTGCCAGGCGGTTGCCAGTGGCTGACCATTGCCAATGTTGCAAATGCTCATGCGGTCTGCGGGCTGATTGGCACGCTCGAGTTGCAAGGAGACATTGCGCCGCTCTTCCTCGAGTGCACGGGTAAGCCGCTCAAAACGAGCTTCTTGCTCCTTAACAGATGCTAAAATGCTGGCAGCAGACCTGATATCATAGTCATCCATGATTGCTTTCAAATGCTCCTGCCTGTTAACTGACACGGGCAAATGGAGAGGGTTAGGCAAAGGGGTGGGGAGGAGACAGGTCAGAGGTTAAGAATAAAAATGCACATTGTTAGTCACTGTACCAAAATAGCATTCACACTAAGCAGCAAATTCTACTACTCTTTGAAAAGACTTCCCTTTTCAATGATCTGATTTTCAATCTGAAGTAATTAATCCAGTGCTTCTCTATGAAAAATATACGCTCACCTTGGATAGACTTGATATTTAATTCCTTTGATCTTTTTGCTAAAACTGCTCGACAGGAATATACATCCCTCTTGCAGAACTAATCTCACTATGCAAATACTAACAGACTCGGAAAGAATTATATAAAAGACAACTGGAGGGGTGAGGAATGCCACCTTTCTCTCTACAGACACCTGGCATGTTTGACTTGAACAGCAAACGAGAAGTCTAACATTTCTGAAGCTAAACTACATAGTACAAAAAACAATTGCATTCATTTTTCCAAGTGAATGGAATCCCCCCAAATTTAGCAGACAGCAGCTGAAAATAGTTTTCCATTTTAAATTACAGGAGTATGCCGTAACATGAAAGATATTTTTAAATACAGACAGTGCAATTGCAGTTGAAATGCGCTTGATGATTTCAGCATGGGAGCCAATGAAGCAGCCCTTCATGCAGCTGTTCACTAATAATGTAAATGAAAAAGCCCAAATCAAACATCTTCAATGGAAAACACACAGGATTGCTTGTCTTTCAGTGCAGGAAAAAGAATTCAGAGAACTAGATGTGTGATGTATGTCCTGCCTTCTGTCTTCACGAGAGTTATGAAGAATTTGATTTAAAACCATTTCCACCTGTATGGTACACGGAGCAAAACTCCCCTTCAATTCACAGATCTATCATTCCAGCATCAGTTAAGATGTTTTCATAACTGTATAAAACCAGCAACAGAACATAAGCATTAAGTGGTGGCTTCAATGGAATCCTTTTCACTAAAGCTAAACTAGTAACTAGTTTACTACTGCATGCTAGTAAAATACCTGCAGCTTTTTGGAGCAGAGCACACAGAGGTACAATTTTCTTCAGGTCCTGTAATCCAAGTGAATTTTATACCAATTTTATGCCAAGAGTTACACTATCTAGAAAGGGCCCCTTCACAAGCATCAAAAGCAATGCTTCCTCTCACCAGAGAGATTCTTTGTTTCCCCCATCTATCAACAGTTAACAGGAGCACTGGTGATACCAAAGCTTGGCTTCCAGAAGCTGAGCATTTCATCACTGAATTGGTGCTTTTTTCACATCCAATACATTTATCAGGTCTTTTT